ACACATTTTTAATGCCGTTTTTGTGGTAAAATTAGGTACCTTGGTGGATATTCAGGTTGGTTTAATACTCGAATATATACGGTAATCATTAATAGACCAAACTAGATTTTTCACTATTTTCACAAATGTGAAATGTGAAGTAATAAGACAGTTGATAAGTATCGAGCAGGTGAAATGAAAATATACTTTGAAATTTTAATTTACTTAAAATTAACACCATGAACGTAATTTAGCAGTATTAGATTAAAATATAAAGTATGCATTAAATTGATAAAATAAATGACCAAAATGAAATTAATCAAAATAGAATGCAATTTTCAAAAACATTAAAGAGGAGGGAAAATGCAGAGGATTACTGTGTGTGTGTGGGGGGGGGGAGGGTGTGTTTAAAGCAACTGCAGTGCTTTGGAATGCTAAAGTATTTATAAATAAGCAATTATAAATAAATGTGTATTATTTATTTCTCAAAGATTCATTTTTCATTATCTCTAAATTTTTAAAAATGGAATAGGAGAAAAACATTAAGGTTATTTGAATATGTAAACATAAATGATTGGAAGGTAGTGATTGTAAATGGGGTACATGATAAAAGACACGAGAAAAATGAACCCTTACAGGATTAATCTAGCTAGACATAATAATCCATCATTGATCCCAAAAGGGCACTAATAAAATGTAAATGTGCAAATCAGAAAGCACATTCAAGGCTGTTGGTAACCCTGATCGGATAATCAGCACATGCTGACAGACTAATGAAACCGATGGACTGATAGGGCAGTGCTTATCTCCCGGGCCATTGTGTTCTCTTGTCAAAGGGAGGCTAATCAAAATGTATCAGGGTTTAAAACAAAACTCAAGGGATTGCACCCATTTGATTAAGAGGTGAATTCATTCTTGGAGAAAATTATAGTTTCATGAACAACTGAAGATATAAAACTTGGTTAGCTGACAGACCTTTGCATAAAACAAAACAGAAGGCAGCTACTATAATTATGGAAGGAAGCATGAATTTAAACTTTATTAGGATCCTCTCTTGTAAATTTGTAAGAGTGCTTTTCAGAGTCTGGACAAAACCACTGCCTCTGTGTATAATGGAAAATAAGACAACACTAAGAACGACCCCGGGAAACACCCTGATCTTTGCTGCCTGTGTGTGCTCCACATCTGGGTAACCATACAAGAGACAGAGCCCAAGGTCTGACTTCCCCACTGCAATGATTAACGCAGAGGAACTGAATGAATTTTCTGAAATCATCCACTAGAGTGAATCCCATCACCACTTCTCATTAACAATGAAGATGGCTATATACAGTCTGATGCCAAGGATTTCAAGGCCCTTTTCTAGTTAAAACACACACACACACACACACACACACACACACACACACACACACACACACACAAACCTTCCTATTTGACAACTGAGGAAACCATTTAGAGCTGTGAATAAAAGCCTAACCTAAAACTTTTGTACCTTTTTAGGCAAAAGTAGAGACAGAGACCCTTTCAGTATTCAGTTTGACATGAAAAACCGTCTAGAATTAATACAGAGAAGAGAACTGAACTTATAAATCTGCAGACTCAGTCTAGGCATACACTACGAACCTGAACATTTATCTGGGTGGTGAAATCCTGGACAGTACAAGGCATTATTTTTATTCATGGAAGTTTAAGGGCAAGAGTAAATTTAGCAAGGCTCGATTTTACCTTAAAATAATTGTAGCAAATAAATAAAGAAAAACATGCTCTAATTCCTCTTTCAATAATCACTCTACAGTAGCATGAGCTAACTAGAGGCAAGTTCACCAACGAACATTGGTAAACATTTTTGGTAACAACAAACATTGGTAAACTTGGTTGCCATCAGGTTGATGCTGACACATGATGGCCCTATAGGCAGAGGAGAACTGCCCACGTGGGTTTCCGAGACGACAACTCAATACAGGAGTGGAAAACTTCATCTTTCTCCTGACAAACCACTGGTTTTGAACTGCTGACCTTGTAAGGTTAACAGGCTAACGCGTAACCATTATGCCACCAGCACTCCTGGAAGATTCCCAAAGACATGGAATAAATCGCCTTAAAATAATAAATGGGTGTTTCTTTAACAGACATTTATCTGCCTCATTTTACATCTCAACTATTTCTAAATAACCTGCCATTCACAAAAGAGAGAGTGAGTGTCCCAAGCAGGTACATATTTTCAATTTGGGGAGGATTTGGGACTTTTCATGTGAACTTAAGCCATAAAGCCAGTATCAAATTTTCCAAATTATAGAACACAGAAGAAGAAAATAATCCTAGAGCTCATGTAGTCTAATTTTATTTTTTATGCATGGAGAATGCTTAGATATATCAAACAATATAATCAGATTCACAGAAACAGAAAAGCTGTGTTTGCAATTTGTGCTTAGAGACAAATATTTGATATGAGGACAAGACTAATCTCTTTTCTTCTCTCCCTTATCTTAAAACAGCAATACAACCAATCTCCAGTACACTGTAAATGTGTACATTTTTTCAACAGCTACATGCCAAATAAGTGATTTTCAGTTTGATCTGTCACCAAACAGCTGAAGTAATAATTTACTACAAGGAATTCATGGATCAATTGCATGTGGTAAGTGGATATTTTATTAGAAATTCTAAGTTTCAAACTCTTACATGTGAGAAAAAAAAACATGCCTTAGATTGATATATCCTTAAAAAGAGCATTGAACTAATTGTTCAAAGTAGAAAAAGGAATCACTGTACTTGTAGTACATTTAGTGTCTACAGCATCATTGCTCCTATAATAAAATACGAACGTGAAAAAACCCACAGATTCAAAGCCTGCATAATAAAGACCACACACTTGGTTTCAGTTACTTGTGTCCTTTAAAAGCATCAAAATTCATGAATCTCTCCAACATAACATTTTTAACTTTCAGAATCTCCCAATCAAAAATGTTAATGAATAGGATACATTCATTTAAATAATGCGTATTTTTATCTGAGTTCAGCAGGCACATGGCTGCCTTTGTGAATGGGTGTTATTGAAAGTCTTGCTCTATTCCAACCCTCATTGTATGCATAAATAATATCTAATCACTTTAGTTTTTACTCTGCACAATTCAACAATCCATGTATGTTAGTCTCAAGAGCTGTCCTATACATGCATACTTTTTCCTCAACAGTATTTTAAATTCTAGATCACTGGATAAATTAATGATACTATCAATAGAATTACTATGTGTTCCATGAAGATGATTTATAATGTTTGCCAATAAAATGGTAAAGATGTCCTTAAAGGACATGAATGACATATATAAAACATAGATACACGAATGGATTTTGAGCTCTCAATAATAGCTTTAATCTAAGAAAAATCAGTTCTCATGTCATGATCCTACTTGATATTCACCCTCATGAAGAGATATTAAAGATATGGGGACCAAAGCAAAGTGTAGTGAGGAAAGCAAATAATGGTGTCCAGCTTTGAGAAACAATAGTCTTTGGGATCTTAAAAGCTTGTTTTAAAACAAGAAGCCTATGGGTGAAGGGAGACGTCGGACAGAGCAAGATATGTCAAAATAATAATTTATAAATTATCAGGGGTTCATGAGGGAGGGGGCAGCGGGGAGGAAGTGGGGGAAAATGAGGACCTAATGCCAGGGGCTTAAGTGGAGAGCAAATGTTTTGAGAATGATGAGGGCAATGAAGGTACAAATGTGCCTTACACAATTGATGTATGTATGGATTGTGATAAGAGTTGTATGAGCCCCTAATAAAATTATTAAAAACAAAACAAAACAAGAAGCCACTGAGATGAGGTATCAGCTAAGTCCACACAGAAGAAACATACCAGCCTGTGTAATCCAGGACTGTAAATAATATAACCAAGACCAGGAGAGGGAACTGTACTAGAGTTTGAACTCTGAGCACCCATTTGCAGAAGGCTATGGATGACAGTACAGAGCCTTGTTAGCATGGTTGGTTACTCCCTTGGCTGTGAACCACAAGAGTGGCTGTTTGAAACCACCAGGCCCTCTGCCGAAGAAAGATGAGGCGTCCTAAACAGTTAATAGTTTCCGAAACCCAAATGGGCAATTCGATCCTGCCCTAAAGCACTGCATTAGTTGGAATCCACTCAATGGTAAGGAGTATGGGTAAGGTGAAAACGTCACATCCATTTGCAGATTTCCCCTAGAGGATTTAAACGTCTGGTGATTCCCCTCTGACCCTGGACCAGGAATGAGAACAGTCTTTGTATCAGATAGAGCACACTGGAAAACGGATTAGAGTTAGCTTAAAATGCATCATCTGATCCTTTGCCCTTCCCTTTGACCCATTGTTCTACTTTTAATATTTGCATTTAGATTGGGGTTTTTCTATGTTTTATTGTTATTGTTGCTAGTTATTTTCCACTCTTGTGTTTTTTTTAAATATGAAATGCAGGATAGGTAAATCTATAAAGATGGTAACTCGATTAATAGTTTCTTAGGATTATGGCAGGGCAAATTGTAAGGAAATGGGGAACTAATAATAATGAATACAGAAAATAAACGTTCTCCAATTGATTGTGGTGTTGATTGTACAACTCTTTTTAACATGATTAAATCACTGAACTGGATGATATGTTAATTATATGATAGGTCAATAAAACTTGTTAAATGTCTAGTTTTAAATTTCTAAATATAATTGAAAAAAATTACACATGTGTACAGTGAACAGATATTACTTTTCAAACTCTAAGATCTAGATAATACTCAATACACTAATCAATCTGTGAGCTTCATCCAATAGTTCTGGGATATGCCAGACGACCTTAGCCAACATGAGGGTTATTAGGTTAAATTATTTGCTAATCCTTTCATAGTATTTGAATGTGAGACTCAGTTGTGAATAATGCTTCTTTGTGAGGATAAATTATATTCTGTATTTCCATGTAATCAAAGCACATGTTTTAATTTTAACACAGGTCCCTGAAATACCAATTAAAATATTAATTATTTACTTACCCATCATGTTGTACAGACTCTGTGGAGCAAACTGTCTTGGCATTTTATGAATTGCTTCCTTGTATACTGTAAGGGCATCCTAATTGAAGAAATAATAAAAAAGAATCATCACTAAGGTACAGAGATATTTATTGAAGATAAGATACATACTGTCAAATTTAGAATCTTCCACTGCTCTTTGTAAATGGTTCCAGGGGAAATAATTCACTGTCCTTTGATATCTTACGACATCAACTTTATGAATGAAAACACTTGGCACATGCTAAGAGAACAACAACATGTTTAATGAAATTAAATGGAACATCTAATGTTGTTAGCACTTTTACTTTAACATATATTTTCCAGTTTTCATAGATGATTCAATAAACAAATTTGAAACATTCATATTTGGAAGTCACTCAAAACCCAGCAAAACTCCACAGCTATTTAATGTCTGACAGTCCAAAAGATTGAAATAAAAAATCTAAACAAAATAAACATACAAAGTACTAGAAATCTGATGGAAGTAGTAAGTGTGATCATTTTAAAAGTTATGCCACCATTCTTACATTGCACTCTTCAAGAGCAGACATCGTGGGTGTGCACTGCAGTCGGGTGGATAGCAAAGGTGAGCAATGGATGAGGGTAGGCATCTCTCTTGTGAAAGAGAGAGGCTGCTGGGCCGTCTCCTACCTCTCTGTACAGCATTTTCATACTCCTCTCAAATCAAAACAATCAAATACTTTCCTTCATAGCAAAGGGTGAGTATAAGCAATACACTGTGCTTGATACATAACTGCATCTCTCCCCTCACTTTCATCCAGTCAATCTGACTCGTGGAGGTGGCTAAGGACGGGAGAAGTGCCCTGTGCATTTCTGAGACTGTGAAGCTTTGTGGGCGAGAAAGTCTCGTCTTTCCCCTTCAGGCAGCTGGTGGTTTTGCGAGGCTAGCAGCCCAACACACAACCTAGTACGCTACCGGCACTCCTGCCAACACTAGCTAGGGCAACACAATTCTAGAAACTAAGTCTTGATCAGAAACGCAAAGGGATAAGGAGGTGGAGCAAACGAGCCAGACAAATTAGGCATTCTACTCTACGCTTGAAGACTCACAATAAATATCACATATTATAATTGCTCTGAGAAACTCCACAGCCAAGAACCTGCTTCAATTATATCAGCTGAGGCTTTGGTCCACACTAAGTTGACCACAAAATCCATGTAATGAGCCCAATATGAGCTGCTAAAAAGTTTGCAGTGTTCCTACGTTGGAGACTGCTCTGGAACAAGTAGGGAGGAAAGGCCCGAGAGTCGTGGAGCTGACCTCATAGTGTCCCTGCTCATGATAGAGTTTCCCCAGGTTATACAAACAGCTGGTAACCGAGCTCTTGTGCGCATGAGGGTCCTTCAGGTTTTCATCGGGGATCTCGGAGCACTTTAGGAATGTACGTCGGGCTTCCTCCGTCTTCCCTTGGTTCATTAGAATAATACCGGTGTTTAAATACGCAGCTGAGGAAAAACACATGCACAGAAAGAAATGTAAGTGTGAAAGCTCTTGTGCATTTTGGCAGAAAGAAAATTACAGCTCTCGTAGTTTTGTTTCTACAGACTATTTCTACTTTCAAGAGAAAACCAAGAAAGAAATATTAATGGAACACATATTTTTAGGATTTATATACTTGTGAAAACTATAGCTATCACATACATAGGTAAATAAACCGTTTCTGCACGCAACAAGCTCAAAATATTGTTACCTTAAAATGAAGTCAAATAAAAATAGTTTCTATTATAAGATTTAAAAAATAATAGACCTCAAAATAAAATAGAGAAATATTAGTGTTTGAGGCTTACCATTTTAGCAGTTACTATTTAGAAATAGGAGCAACATGGCTTTTTTTCTACATGAGGTTATAAATAACAATGACAATTTTCAGTAAAGAAGGGTGGAGAGACGTGTTAAAAGAATCAGACTATTACTTACAAGCCAGCGTGGGCCTGCTCCCAATCGCCAATTTATAATAATGGAGTGCTTCAGCAAACCTGCTGTTCTCCTGCAGAAGCAACCCTCTGCAGAGAGACAACAGAAATTTGGAAATAGGACTTACATTACTAGACATAAAATTTTTTTAAATTATTATATATTCCAAAAATAAAAATGGTTAACAAAGCAGTAAAAAAGCTGACCTGGTATTATAAAAATAATTCCAAATAGAAGGAAATGATTCCTCTGGAGGGAAGACACTGTATAGGTTTCAGCTGCACTTCAATGGCAATAGAAAGTATTAAGAAGTATTTTCAAAATGGGCTTTTAGCACCCCTGAGCTTGCCCCTATCCAGCCATCTCTTCTCTCCCTCTAGAATTCCAAACCACCTGAATTCTTCACGCAGCACGGACATTTTCTCATCAACTTCACAAAAGCCATGTAGATGTGGAAACTGAGAAACTTAATAACCCCACGTTGCCTGGTAAATATTTGTCCATGCCACACAGAGCAAAGTTAGTCGGGACCACAGGAAAGAGAAGTAAATTAGAGACTTTGAGATAAGCAATAATAATAATAATCTGAAGGTTGACCACATTATTATTATTTCCTTATTCTTTTGGATTTGGTCATATCAGCTTGGATTTCAGAGCAGTGAGCACTTTCAAATTCCCTGTTCTAAGATACAACTTTTTCTGCACACCCTAACATTCCAAGGGCTTCCCTAGTATTCGCGCTAGAAAACAACTCTAAGCAATCCAGCCTTTCCTAGACCCTATCTTCAGGACCTAAATGAGAATCCATTATAACCATGCTATGAAAGTAAGTTGTCAAGGAACTGGACAAAGTCCAGGAAGCAATCACAGAGGGTTTTTTGTGTGATAATCCCTATTGTCCTGTCATCAGCAAGTTATCCTACAGCTATTTCAGCACATCCATCGGGGTATCCAACTCAGATTACAAATTCAACTCAGCAGTTGCTCAAGTTTTGAAAGGCTGGTATAAAAAAAAAACAAAAAAACAAACAGTTCTATGGAGTCTATACCAACTCATAAACTCTATAGGATAGATTAATATTTCCAGTGCTGTAAATCTTTATGGAAGCAGACTGCCACATCTTTCTCCATTGTATGGGCTGGTAGTTTGAATCTCTGACCTCTCAGTTAGCAGAGGCTTAAAGTTGGTAATAATAAGGGCTAATGTTAAAAAAAAGGCTATTAAAATTGTTGATAATTTTTAAAAACTCATTATGTAATTATCATCACTGAAAAAAATCCTTGATTCATCAATATACAGTAATTACCTCAACTTTTCTAGTTTTTGTTAAAAAGTCATTTTAGGGAGAACCAAAATTCCAAATCATATTAACATTAATGTTATATACACATGAATGTATATCCCCATAAAATTCTCATAGAATTACTTTAGTCATGAAACTGATAGGCTATACTGCTAAGGGCAAATTTCACTTGTTAGGCTCAAAATGAATATAAACTCTAGAAATCTTCACATTTGTGAAATTGGCCATTTGACTTAAATGTGGATAAAACATATAGAGAAACAATAATCGCATGCATTTCTAGCAAGGAATAATAACCCTTTTAAAAAGTATTAGCATGTTTTCCTATTAATGACATTCATATACACACTTTCATTCCTGAAACTTATCTACAATTCTAATTGTCTTTAGCTTTATCAGTTTCATTTCAGATTCATGTAGACTTTGCTTCAATACAAGGCTAATGATATGAGAAGAAATACTCTCCCCTAGTTAATCCTATTGTATATTTCTAAGGAAATTAAAATTTCTAGTAAGGCCCCTATTGTCTAGAATCCTCTTCCTATTACAGATTCCTATCCTTTACACTGTAAAAACACGTGTGTGCCTTCTCACATTTAAAGAACAACTCCTACAACTTCTATTCATCCTCGCATCTGTAGCTAAACACCGCCTATTGGCATTTTTTCTTCAAAGTCAGATTTTGAGAACAATATATAGTACCTTCCATCAAATGTCTCAAATCCCATTTATATACTAAATCCTTTTGTGGCACCACCACCGCACTAATCCCTCTGAAATATCATGGTCAAATTTCTACTAAATATGGCAGTGGTTAAGCTTTCTGTGTGTAGGAAAGCTGTTTGTTCCTTAGGCAAACTAAACAGGACCACCACCTTCCAAGAGATCATGGACCATTGGGAGAAAAGCTGATAGCTCAGCCATGCGAGCTTATGAAGCAATGACTGGCATGTCTCTCCAACTGAGATAAATGAACACTTTGTCCCTTGTTCCCTAGCAGAGGCTGCAGAAAGCAGCCACCTCTAAACCTATCTGTTACTTCCTGTCCCCAGCTTCAACCTCCCCTCCAGCCTATGAATAACTTGGTTGAATGCTTGGTGTTAATGCTCTATTGCTTGCCTCAAGAATTGCAAATCACCATTTGGGCAATCCTGGCTAGAGCATGCTGGCTAGAGTAACCTAAAGACTATATAAGCTTGGCCCTAATGAAGCTCTGGGTTCTGAAATGGCTGTGCTTCAGAGACACCCATCCACCCACCCAGCAATTTGAATTCATCCTATTACCTTTCTTTTGGACATAAGCTTTCTTAATTGCAGTGCTGCCCCTTTTGAACCCATTTGTGATGCAAGATAAGAGCTTCTCTACATTATCTTACAGTTTGGACCACTAACCAAGAGGTCAGCATTTCAAAACCACCAGCCACTCCACAGGATAAAGATGGGGCTTTCTAGGCCCATAAAGAGTCACAGTCTCATACACCCCCAGGGTCTGTTCTACCCTCTCCGCAGGGAGTCACCAAGAAGCAGAATGGCCTGAATGGCACTGAGATTGGTTTGGGTCTGAATCAATTCCAGAGAATACTGCTCTCTTGTGAGCCCTCCCTCCCCTGACTACAGTATTTGAGGAAACTGCATTGATCTTCCTTCCTGAAGCTTTACTTCATCAATTTGGAACATGGTGTCCTTTCAAACTCAAAACCAAAGTTACTGCCATTGAGTTGATGCCAACCCATCGTGACCCTCATCTTTCTCCTGCAGAGGAGCTGCCACCTTCAAACTGTACCCCGGCTCTCTTATTCCTAGGCCCATCCTGCTACTAAGGTAGATGCATGTCCCACTTCAATTACGTGTTTCTTTAATAGAAGTTGGTGTTTCATAGGATTGCGATGCTGTCTCTTTATAAATACTGTCACTGTGTGGCTTCACACATATATTTGGCTCATCCATATGGTTTAGAAGGAGTTATCTCTTGCCTGACCTCCATTCTACTTTCACTAGCTTACTAAGACATGTCAATTTAGGCGCTGAGTGATAGTTTTAAATAAGTGCGTCCACATTTGAAAACAAGACAAAATGTGCACTAAAAAAATACATGTTTTCTAGACTCCAAAGCCCACTGAATGCATTTTCTAAGACTCTTTACCCCTGAAAGTTCATTTCTATGTCTGTAAGTCCTTTTTATCTTTCTGTCATCAGAAGAAATAAAATATCCCACTAATTAGTCTCCACATAGTTACACTTCTCAAGGGCAGAGATGCTGTTAGGCTGGATCGAGTGAACGTGAGGGGGTAAGCGGCTATCTTGGACAACATGCCTACAGTCCATAAACTTTAAAAACTGATGTAGGTAGCCTCACGGGATCTCAAATGGTGATGTATGATAGTCATTTTCTGATTCATAAATGATCCAAGGAGGAGGGCATAATAAATAGCATATGACAGCCACACCAAGACAATTCTGTCCAGCCTTTTTAAAACTCAGCAGAGAGACCTAGCAGGGAATTAATCACACAAAATGTATGCATCAAGCATGTGTCATAATGTGGCGCTTTGAATGAGAGGGTTTCACTCACGGCAGCATCTGAACAAAGAGAGCAACACAGGAAGTCCACATTAGATGGCTACTGTAACCAATTTCTCCTGGGCTGTGGACTGACCTGCATAAAACTATACCCCAACACGGGCGCTGCAAAGGTAAACAAGGCAGAGGAGAAGCATTCACGCATGGGCACAGGACCTACTGGAGGAGACAAGGAAATAAAATGGAAACATCATGCTAGCGAACAGAGGACAAGTCCTGTCTTAACCCAGGAATGGACAAGGGAAGGGTCATACAGGAAGTCGTTCTGGCAGACGCATCAAAGCACATAGTCGCTAGCTAACAGGAGAAAATAACACATCAACACCATGTTACACAGCAGGAAAGAGCCTTTCCGAAAAGCTGGTTAAAATGCCTGATTCTCCTCAAGCAATTATTGGAACATGGAAACAGCCCCTCCCCAAAAACACAGAATGAAAGAGGGCATATAACTAATACCAATGTATGACACTGAACTTTCTGAACTCTTCCTCTTTTGAAAGGCAAACGTAACTAGTATCTAAGAAATGGTCTCCAAATTCTAGCTTTGTCTCTCATTAACCTTAAACCCAGAGAGAGCTGGCTTATCAAAGATGAGGGAGTTGTGGGATACAATTAATGAAGAAAGCAAATGATCTAAATGACAAGAAATAAAGAAAATATCAAAACAGACTAGAAAAAAAGGCTGTATGCTTGCTCTAGAATGTAGACAAACTAAAGTAAATGAAAGAACTGATGAAATAAAAGCTCTGAACAAAAGATGTCAGAGGGTGGCTTGAGATG